GGCCGTATTAGGGCATTTGGAGGCGCTCACAGATGTACCTTTGTAGTGCTTCACTTTTTGGTTTATGTGGTTGTGGTGTTACACCAGATGATTTGATCTAAGCATATGACATTAAATACACGAATTTTCATATTGGAAATAAGCCTATATTTAAGATAAGTTCGGTTAGGCGTTCTTTCAAACTCAGTGCCAATGTAAGGTTTACCAGGCCATTATATTCTAGTGATTATACTACTCAGTGTTACTTAACAATTCCAATCACAGAATTGAGACAAATGAGTAATGTCTGGAGGTAAATGGTTAAACAATTTATATAAATATGCACCTAAATCTTTTGACGATCCCATTATAAATTCAAAAAGGTTTCTATCTTAACTAAACAAATTCACTTTTTAAAATAAAAACATACATAAAAGCAATGAGAAAATATTTTGTTTACATTCAAACACAGACACAATGACAAAATAGAAAAAGGGAACTGAGAAAGATGCGCTAAAAACAGGAAAAAACGAGATGAAAAGTGAATAGAAAACAAACAGACAGGTAAGAGTACACGTCACATTTGAAGACATGGAGAGAAATGATGTAAAAATTAAAACTGAGCAAGTGTTTTAGAAAACAAGATAACTTGGAGCCAAATCATATACACATGAGAGTACTATGTTGAAGAAATAGGATTGATATCAACTATCATTTACAAATCATCCCTGGATTCTTTCCCTGTGACAAAATGCACTTCCCATTCATCATTTAATGAAAGATCAGGTTTACGAACAACGACAATGCGTGGTACGTGTTTAAAACCAGCAGAAAAAACAGAGGACGGAGTAATGGAAAACCCTATATTTCTTCGTGGTTTATGGGCATCGATCACAGTAATTCTTTCCAAGGGACTACTGAACCCAACAATAACAAAGCGTTCAATTTTCGGTATAAAAGCATCATCTTTAGGTAGTACTATGGAAGTTTCACCTGGTAATGGCAAACGTTGTAAGCGCAATCGTCCACCATGCACACCTGCACCCGTTGGGTCGACAACTCGTTGGTAAATAATTTTGAAAAACTGGGCATTTGATTTAGAAGTTGAATGGAAATCATCTATGTATATATAACCAACAGCATCAGGCTTCTGAGGGTCCAAACAAACAACAAATGTATAGGGATCACTACGCATAAGCCATGAAGAACGACGTATACGCTCTTTTCGTGGTATAATCCACCCACCTCGATAAAATACAGGTATGGAATTTATCGTTACTGGATATTGTGTCGACTGTCCACCTGCAAATACCTACAATTAAATACAGGAATTTCATATGACTTTTTCTACTGATAAATTTAACTTCGCACGAATAACAAATACAGACTTTATCGAATCGACCAGAACAGTTTATGATAGGACAACAAACATAATTCATTGATTTAACAATTAGTAAAATGTAAGCTTTAATGACACTATTATGTTAAATAGCAGTTATGTACACATGATATTTTATTTCAAAACATCAAAACATATCCATATAATGGTTTCTGGAGGCATTAAAAACCTTAACTGATAATTATATAGATACCACTGACAAGGTTTAACTTGATAGTTTCATATAAATTGAGCATCAGGTAGAATTTATTTATTTGAACACATAAATATTGGTACAAGAATGCGCCAAATATATATGCGCCACACAAAACAATGAGAATTTAAGGGGAAGGAAAAAGAGAATAATAACGAAGAGATTGATGCAAGGTGGTGTAATAATAACTGGTAAAAATGGGGAACGGAAAGGTACAATCAGAAAAAATCTTTCAGTTAAGGAAGACAAAACCACTTTTTTTATGAAGAAAGTAAAAGAAGGTTACAGCAGAATCGCTCTTATGGCTTCTATTCTGAGCCATATCTGATAACGTCTCTAGCCACTGTGTCGCACCATCTCTCGGACCCCAGCCAGGGAGTCATGAAGGTCCAACAGAAGCCAGTCCTTCGCAACTTTCTTTCATCCCACGACACCATGTCATATACCGACCACCTCTCCGCCTTTTCCAACCAGTCCCAGAGTCGGCAAATAATGCACGACGTGGAATTCTCTGGGACGACATTCGTAGAACATGTCCAAGCCACCGAAGTCGGTGTTTCAAGATGGTGACACCAATTGCATTATCGTCTCTGTGCCCGAACACACGGTGCCGAACCTCTGCATTACTGACATGGTGTTGCCACTGGATATCAGCAATCCTTCGGAGACAACGATGATCGAACACAGAGAGTCGTCTAACGTCCTCAACTCAGAGAGACAAGGTTTCACAAGCAGAGCAAAACTGCTCTCACCGATGTGTTGCAGATCCGACCTTTTACAGCCAGACTAACATCACGAAGGCGCCAAAGGTGGCCCAGATTGGCATAAGCCGCTCTGGCTTTCACTATACGTGCATTGATCTCATCACTCACACCCCCACCAGCACTTATGCAGCTACCCAGATACACGAACTTCTCGACTACGTCTATCTGCTCACCATCCAGGGTGAGTACAGGATTAGAATCCTGCCAGTCTTGTAGAAGTACTTTGCACTTCGAAGGTGCAAAGCACATACCATACCTACGGACACTGATTGCCAACTGATTAAGTGCGGATTGCATGCCTTGGGCATTATCGCACAGTAAGACAATATCGTCCGCATACTCAAGGTCGAGAAGTCTTTCTCCAGGCAACAGATCCACACCACCATTACTTACATTCATCAGAGCTGTTTCCAGAATGTCATCGATGGCAAAGTTGAAGAGGAATGGTGAGATTGGGCAACCCTGCCTAACCCCACTGCTCGAATGGAACAATGGAGAGAGGTGGTTGTATGCCCTCACTCTGCCTGAGGTGTTTTTATATAGGGCTTTTAGGATGTTAATAAACTTCTCAGGCACACCCTTCTTCAATAGACAATCCCAGAGAACAGTCCTATCCAACGAATCGAAGGCAGCCCTGATGTCAAGAAACACTACGATTGTTGGCCTTTGATAAGTATGGCGGTGTTCTAACATTTGGCGGAGGGTGAAGATATGATCAATACATCCTCGACCAGAACGAAACCCAGCCTGCTCCTCGCGAGTCAATCTTTCTCGGGTTTTGAACAACCTACGAAGTATGACGGAAGCCAATAGCTTGGACGCAATCGGAAGTAGACTTATCCCCCGATAGTTGTTACAGGAACGACGTGAACCCTTTTTAAAGATAGGGACAACTATCGACTCATTCCATGACGTTGGTACACTCTCTAGTTCCCAAACCTTTGTAAACAACGTCGTCAATTCCTTAGTCAAAAAGTCACCACCATCTTTAAAAAGAGCCGGAGGTAAGTCATCTGGGCCAGGTGATTTGTAACGCTTCAAGAGTTGGAGTTCCTTGCGGACTTCCTCCTCGTTTGGTGGATCAGTCGTCACCGGCCATGGAGGGCAGGACAGTCTGACCGATGTTGCCGGAGCAGCAGGCCAGTTGAACTGCCCTTCGAAAAATTCTGCCCATCGTCCAAGACGTCGATGGATGTTAGTGATTGGCATCCCATCATCCTCGCAGATTGTTTCACTCACACCAGACTTCTTGCTGCCAGTGGCTCGGATGAGTTGGAAGAGCTTCCGGTAGTTACCAGATGCAGCTGCTGCTTCCAGCTCATTAGCACGCTCCGACCACCAGGCTTCTCGGTCCTTACGCAAGCTTTGCCCAATTTCCTTACGTAACATCCTTCGTTTGTGGTCAAACTCACGGTCACCCGGAGTAGACCGACGGGCTTCATTGAGTTGTAAGCAGTCTGAAGAAACCCAGTGCTTATAGGCGAGACGTTTCGCGAACCCACAACTGACTGTACCCGCCATTTTCATGGCGACTCGATACTTGCTTGCAACAGAAGTTGCAACGAACTTGCTGACATCAATCCTTTGGTGGCGGCCACTTCGTCGGCCACTGAAAATGAAGGTAATATTGGCGCAGACCAGGGAATGATCAGAGTCCAGATAGGTACTCCAAAAGGAGCGGCAGTCTTGTACGCAACCACGCCAGCGGTAGCTGATCGTGATATGATCAATCTGAGCTCAGGTTTGAGATGCAGAGGGACGACGCCAGGTAGCATATTGGCGATGACTGTGCCGGAAGTTAGTGCTAGCCAGAAACAGGTTGTGGTCTGTGCACAGTTGCAGTAGACGGTCCCCGTTATCTGACCTGCGACCAACGAGTCCCCATCAGCCACTTAAACGACTCTCTTCTGTGCCTAGACGCCCGACCTGAGCATTCAAGTCTCCGGCTAGTGCTGCAATATCTGTCGAACGCACTTTCTGGAGAAGAACAGATAACTGGTGGTAGAATTCATCCTTGATTGCATCCGGGCTGCAATCTGTCGAAGCATAGGCGGAGATGACGAAAAGGCATCGTTTCTCACGCCGATTTCTTCTCACTTTGATGGAGCTTTCTAATCTAACAGCACATGACCGACTGTTGATGGGGATCCAATCGATTAGTGCTGCCTCAGCTCTAGCGTTTAGTGCGATACCAACGCCAGCAAGACGAGATGAAGATGCCACGGGGTCCCCGGATAAACGCACGTAAAACAAGCTTTTCGAAGCGACAGATGGAGAGCAAATTTGTAGTACTTCACCCGAGTCTTGAATACGGGTCTCGGATAGACAGCAAACATCGATAATAAGACTTTCTAAAGACATAGCCAGCCCTATCTGTTGTCCAACCTGCATAAGTGTGCGAACGTTGAAGGCAGCCAGTTTGAAAGGTGCATGTGGTTTCAGAAAAACTGATTCAGTACTCACATCGGGTAGAAGGTTATTAATAAATATATTTTTGTTATATCCTAATGATTAAGAAAATTGTATTTCTGACGTTTCGTGACTTAATGCAAGCCACTTCTTCTGCGTAAACAAATCACCAAATTAAACTAACACGTGTTTGAATAGTACTAAGCAAAATGAATAGGCGATTCTTAAATAGTATAGTTTTTTTTGGTAGCTTAAGGCAGCTCTTGATAACTATAACAGTATTATAGAAAAGAAGACATTCACGTACTTGTCTGTTGAACTCAATAAATAAAGTCGTTCTATTTTTTCAATGAGTCTGTACATTACTCAATGAATATTTTGATTACCGGTATAATTAAAGACAAACTGTTCCTTTAACATTTTACCATAACTCTATCTCTTCTTTTCATAGAGTTATAAATAAAAGGTCTAGATTTTTATGTAGGATTTACCGTTATTTTCATATTACACATTAGCTGTGAAGCAAAACTATTTAAAACCCCATACAAATGATCATTTACCTCAAGCGATGGATAATGATACCATGTTCCCTTTGGAAAATATAACTGCACATAGCCAGCACCTTGATCAGTGACAGGACTCACAAGCACAGCTTCTCCAATCATATATTGATCATCCAAACCATACGTATTCACATCTTTAGGAAAATGAAACCACATTGGTGCCATAACTGGTTGACCGTCTGCTTCCGAACGAGCAAACAATGTATACCAGTATGGAAGTAATTGATAGCGAGCTTGTATTGCCTTTCTGTGAAATAAAAGCGATCATTTTATTATCAAAAGTTGAAAAATATCTGGCTACATATAAGAGTATTTCAATAATCAACATAAACTCAAAATATATGTTTAGGTGCACATGGTTCTGGCCCAAATATGATGAGAAACAAACTATCTAAAGTTGTAACCATGTCCGGACTCAGACTTAAACTAGTGATAGGATAATTACTATAGCTTATTATCATTAAAATGTTAATCAATGAACAAATTATTAGCTTTCATATTCATATTAAAACAATAATGGCCGATTATGCCATTTTTAAAATCATTAATATTATTGAGCTACAGGTTTAATGAGTGCAAAGAGTGAGGACGTGAAAAATTGTTGATTAATACAGCGACGAGTGTGACCAATAAATTTAAAGCAGTTGCTTTAATGTTATCCTGAGTGCTTGGACCATAATGATAAAAGTTCGAAATTCGCTGCCAAACCCTACTACAAGTTTGAATTTCTTTTAGTCGGGTAAATTTTCATGTCATCGTCAGCTACAGCACAATGTATGTGGGGACGATTTAAACCAAGTATTTCATGCAAAAGCATTTCCAACGACACAGTCAAAAAGTTATAACTGTGAAATAAGTCGCCGGAAGAGTCTCGTTACATATATTTTACACTGGAAGAAAGCATTAAGAAGCTCAATGAATTCTCTCCACTTTGTTTTAATTATTTATACTAAATAAATTACGTCTGTGCGCTACGCTGTCCAAGAATGTAAAAGCTGGATTGTTTACCCTAATGAGCTTATAATAGATAATATCATGAAAACAATACTATCGAGGTAAATGGTTAGACCTTTAAACTAAAAGACATTTAGACCACACTAAAACCTTGGTGTGATAATAACAAAGTACACTAGTGGCTTTAATTTACCTAAACATAGAATCAATTAAGACATGCTAGTTTCCAATTAAATGAACCCCATTTCGTGATCGTACCTTAGTCAACAGTCACAAGATTAAGCTAATCTGTTCGATGGAAACTGCAGAATACTTAATTCTTAAGATGATCTCACTAAGCGATAACAGTTTCTGTGCAAAGTGAACGGTAGAAAATTGATGACAGTTTAAAGGTGGGGTGTTGTGACTTTATGTCCGGCCTTTATCACGTGATTTATCCACTAATCAAAATACGACTTATACAATCTTAGCACTGTGCCAAATCAATGAAGTTCAACCGGTACGGGCAGTCTAGCGTCTTTATTGGTCTTATGTCCGCCTAGCCCGCCCACTTGAGTCTAGAACAACAATACCAGCTTCCAATATGAGAATCGAATCATTTATTTCAGACATACTGGGTTTATATATCAATCAAACAGACCGCAACGCACCATAAAATATGAAATAACATTTGTACACAATAAAGCCAAAAAGTGACTGTGAACGTGGGAGACAGTAGTTAATAAACTGAGCATAATTTAGGGACAGTAAATCGTATAATAATAAATTATAGGTCAAAATGAAACTTATAATAAGAGGAATATAAATATACATAATCTAATTATTGAATGATTATACCATGAGAATGTATAGATAATCTTAGTCAATTAATATGTCTCAGAAGTTACTCGTGATTTAATCTTCGCTCGGATATAACATGGGGGGGTTATAGCGACGAATGTATTGAAACATGACAACAAGTTTCTCTTGAGTACTCAGTGGTCTAGAAAAATCTAAGTTCAGTTGCAAAAACCATGAAAATTACTAATTACAATTTGCGCAATCTTTCATAATGTCATGTATTTTCTCTAGAAATCTTGAACTATATGCAAAAACTTACAGTATCTCAACTTTGCGTCAATTAAACCTTAGATATGTATTATCGGTTAACAGGATGAATCAGTTAAGGTGAGCACATCAGAAAAGCGATGAGGTCGTTTGGGTATATGAGCCAGAAGATATAGGATTTCAGATGGTATGAAATACAGTTGAATGGAGTGGGTTAAACACTTTTTGATATATATCCCGAACAACTAACTATTCTTTTAGGATACAGTTTTTTTCTCTTGTGTTTTTCCCGGTTCACTGGTACACTTTGACCTGTTAGCTGGATTACTGTTTTTGTGTTCTTAAAAGACATGGGAAACTAACCACGTTTTTAACCAGAATTAACTTACTACCACTAAATACAATGATGAAAGTGCAAGTGAATGGTTTCGATAAATTTAAAATCTACACCAACTACTTTAGTCTGGAAGGCTGATCAATGTTATCATTTCCACACAAAGCACGTCTCGTATTCTTCGTACAAAGAAGTCATTGTATTAAACCAGGAGGAATAGTGCACTTACCGAATGGGATCAATATATTCCGAAGCCACTAGCCAAGGTTCACGGCGTTTGCTATCTATGTGCGCATGAGCTCTGAAGAATGGTTGATAAGCAGCCGCCTGATACCATCTTGTCAATAACTCAGAATCTGGATTGCCGAAAAAACCTCCCACGTCAGCTCCACATAGGGTTATCCCCACGACTGATATGCTGAGAAGCATAGAAGTTGAAATCTAGAGTAGCGAAAAATACCATGCATAGTAACCAAGTGCGTAATACATAATCTATAGTCTCTAAAACAAGTAACAACTGATAACATGCCTCAGGAATTATTGTAATAAAATGTCGGTAGCTATATCCAGAAACCAGAAAAAATTATTCAAACCCTTTAAACTCTGTCCCGGGAGTCAGAAGGTCTTCATTTAGAAGAATTATGACGCCTCATGATGAAAGCCGAATCCTTCGGAAGTTACGAGGCCGATGCCCTTCTGACAACCACATCGACCATTTATTTAGGTACATGGAATGTTCGTACAATGTGGGACACCGGGAAAGCCTTCCAAATTGCTGCAGAAATGAGAAGATACAACCTAGAGGTACTTGGGATCAGTGAAACACATTGGACACAAGTTGGACAACAACGACTAACTACAGGAGAGCTCCTGTTATACTCCGGCCATGAAGAAGAAAATGCCCCACATACACAAGGAGTTGCATTTATGCTGTCCAAACAAGCGCAAAATGCGCTTATAGGATGGGAATCTCATGGACCAAGGATCATCAAAGCCTCGTTCAAAACAAAAAAGAGGGCATTTCAATGAACATCATCCAATGCTATGCGCCTACCAACGACTACAATGAAGACGCTAAAGATCAATTCCACAATAGGCTGCAGTCAATCGTCGAGAAGTGCCCAACAAAGGACCTGACCATTCTGATGGGAGATTTCAACGCCAAGGTTGGAACGGACAACACCGGATATGAAGACATCATGGGACGACACGGACTGGGAGAAAGGAACGAAAATGGTGAGAGATTTGCAAACCTATGTGCCTTCAATAAACTGGTCATAGGCGGCACCATATTCCCACATAAACGCATACTAAAAACCACATGGACTTCACCGGATCACACCACGAAAAACCAAATCGACCGTATTTGCATCAACATAAAGTTCAGGAGGACGATGGAAGACGTGAGAACCAAGAGAGGATCTGATATAGCATCAGATCATCACTTGCTGATCGCCAAGATGAAATTGAAACTCAAGAAGCACTGGCCAACGGGGCGGACAATATTACAAAAGTTCAATACGGCCTTTCTTCAGGATACTAACAAACTCAACAAATTCAAGATAGCCCTCAGCAATAAGTTCCAGGCCTTTCATGATCTACTCAATGGAGAAGGAACTACAATGGAGAGCAACTGGAAGGGGATCAAAGAGGCAATCACTTCAACATGTCATGAGGTCCTGGGTGGGTAGAACACTTCAAAGAACTCTTGAATCGACCAGCTCCACTGAACCCACCCAACGCCAAAGCAACACCCACGGACCTCCCAATCAATGTTGGCCCACCAACAATTGAAGAAATCAGCATGGCCATCAGACAAATCAAGAGTGGCAAAGCAGCAGGACCAGACAACATTCCAGCAGAGGCACTAAAAGCAGACGTAGCGGCAACTGCAAGGATACTCCACATTCTCTTCAATAAGATTTGGGATGAGGAACAAGTACCAAAAGACTGGAAAGAAGGACTTCTGATCAAAATACCGAAGAAAGGCGATCTCAGCAAGTGTGATAACTACAGGGGCATCACTCTTCTCTCAATACCGGGAAAAGTCTTCAACAGGGTATTGTTAAACAGGATGAAGGACTGCGTAGACGCCCAACTTCGTGACCAACAGGCAGGATTCCGTAAGGATAGATCGTGTACAGACCAAATCGCAACTCTACGGATCATTGTGGAACAATCAATTGAATGGAATTCATCACTCTACATCAACTTCATTGACTACGAAAAGGCATTTGATAGCGTGGACAGAACAACACTATGGAAACTTCTTCGACACTACGGCGTGCCTCAGAAGATAGTCAATATCATACAGAATTCATATGATGGATTACACTGCAAAATCGTGCATGGAGGACAGTTGACAAAGTCGTTCGAAGTGAAGACCGGTGTTAGGCAAGGTTGCTTACTCTCACCCTTTCTCTTTCTCCTGGTGATCGACTGGATCATGAAGACGTCAACGTCTGAAGGGAAGCACGGGATACAATGGACATCTAGGATGCAGTTGGACGATCTAGACTTCGCAGATGATCTGGCCCTTCTATCCCAAACGCAACAACAAATGCAGGAGAAGACGAACAGTGTGGCAGCAGCCTCAGCAGCAGTAGGTCTCAATATACACAAAGGGAAAAGCAGGATTCTCCGATACAACACAGAATGCACCAATCCAATCACAATTGACGGAGAAGATTTGGAAGATGTAAAAACCTTTACGTATTTGGGCAGCATCATTGATGAACAGGGTGGATCTGATGCAGATGTGAAGGCGCGGATCGGCAAAGCAAGAGCAGCATATTTACAACTGAGGAACATCTGGAACTCAAAGCAACTGTCAACCAACACCAAGGTCAGGATTTTCAATACAAATGTCAAGACAGTTCTACTGTATGGGGCAGAAACCTGGAGAACTACGAAAGCCATCATCCAGAAAATACAGGTGTTTATTAACAGTTGTCTACGCAAAATACTTCAGATCCGTTGGCCGGACACTATTAGCAACAACGTACTGTGGGAGAGAACAAACCAGATCCCAGCGGAGGAAGAAATCAGGAAGAAGCGCTGGAAGTGGATAGGACACACATTGAGGAAAGCACCCAACTGCGTCACAAGACAAGCCCTCACATGGAATCCTCAAGGCCAAGGGAAAAGAGGAAGACCAAAGAACACATTACGCCGAGAAATGGAAATAGACATGAGAAAAATGAACAAGAATTGGATGGAACTAGAAAAGAAGGCCCAGGACAGAGTGGGTTGGAGAATGCTGGTCAGCGGCCTATGCTCCATTGGGAGTAACAGGCGTAAGTAAGTAAGTAAGTAAGCTATATCCAGAAAGTAATAATAATCATCGCAAATGATGAGTTTTTAATGCTAAAACCATTATTAGTATCCTTTAAACACAACAAAATGGTCCAAGACAAAAGATTGGTTGTGATTTGAATTGTATTTCAACTTACTAAAACCAATTCAATCAGTCAGTCATACGTAACATAGACCCTGAGAATATATATATATATATATATATATATATATATATATATATATATATATATATATATATTGACCACAATTAGTTGTCTGATCAGTCTTCACCTTAAGGACTTAAAGTTATGGAAACTTAATAAAAAACGTCAAATATTTTGACACACTATCTAAGGTCTTAATACAGAAGGAACTGCAACTTATACGCTCCTCAGATCTGAGTTCACAGGGTAATGCGCACGTACAAACACAGAGATTTCACTCGGAATTGTATGGTCCGAAAGCCATTTTGTTAATAGATGCTATTTTAACTAAATGTCAACCTAAGGTGAAAATTTAGATGTAAATGTCTGAAAAATGTGTACAAAATAACCGTTTCCTTTTATCTTTTATGACTAGTTTCGTAAACCATATCAATACATCCTTTATTGAATGACCATAATCCTAGACAAGAAAACAACTTTTAATGGTTGCTCTGAAAACCGTGGTTATTATAATTAAATGGGACAATGAATGAAACTAAATCAAGCACAAGTTTATCATAATTATTTACGAGGTATGATCCACACCGTTAACGAACTCTTTCATCAATGAAATAAATCTTAAGACCAAGAAATTACCTTTAAGTGTGACCAATCAGCAGTATTGTCTCCAGTCCAAACAGCTGCTGTCTGTTGTGAACCAACAAAAAACGCACGGGTCAACACAAAAGGACGTTCTATGCCGTTCGACCTCAACATGAGTCCATCCCAAGTTGACTTATGTACGTATAACCCATATAAGTTATGTACATCACGATGCTCCCAATTACCTGCATGCTTAGCATCCTTCAAGCAAAAATGGAAACATGTAACAAGGAAAATTAGCAAACAGGTAAATACGGAGATATTCGACTTTACAAAATGAAACTGATAATTAGTTCGCATTTCAACCGACTGTTTAGTAGATTTTTAATGTAGACGTTATTTAGTGGCTATTCTAAAGTTGTCTATCTTAGGGTTACAAGTTGTTTAATAAGAAAACAAAAATAAAGCGAGACCTGACACGTATTTATCGCTCTGTAGCGTCAGTTATTATATTAAGCCCATGTATCTTATTCTAGCTTTCGGACATTCCATTCTATTCATCCTACTTGAGTCATATTTTGACCTTGTCAACTATTCGCTTATCAGTCTTGACTGTTTTTATATGAGCGTATATGTGTGTACACTTCATACCCCATGACTCATCACATGTCTGTAGTTTATTTTGTCTGCCTATAAATATTGAGTAACGCTTGACTAAAATGGAGTTGGCTTCCCAGCCATCTTCCCTGCGTGTCATTTTGCTTTGCTATGTTTCATTCGCTTCATATACGAAATATATGTATTCACAAGTCAATTCTCGTTATTCGACTTATTTAATTCCGTTATTGGATAACTTGATTTAAGTCGACGATTGTATACGAGAATAGGCGATAGCAAACATTCGTACGATCTTGGAGTCAGGTCCATGGGCCACTAAAATGGTGAGCCCTTCAACGAATATCGTCGATCTAAATGATGACAAAATCAAACTACGGGCCTCCACTAAACTCTTAGTCACTACATTCCACATCAAGATCATATGAAATTGAAGAGGGTGAAAATAATATCAAAAGTTGTAGGGAATTGAACATTAGTATTTTTAAAGGAGTGAATAAAATCGAGAGATAAAACGTTGAGAACATTGATATGTTTAAAACTTAGTGGGAGACGAGTAATCAAAAGACTTATACTACTGTGACAGATCTTGAGCCAATATCTCAGAATTTGGATTGCAAAATACTAATATTTCAACTAACACAAGACTTTCCCTTGATAACGCTACTGAGACTAAGAATTATTAGCTTTATCGATTGAGGTCAGATCATAACTTGACAATCTTGAGGCTTTTTCAACCAGCTCCTATGGTGATCAGCAAGTGTGTACTAGAATCTTTCATACACCTCATTTTGGTGAGGGCTAGTAATTTAATCAACCACTTCTACCTAATAATCTACATATAACATCAATATTGTTCCCTCATTAGTTCTATTATGGCGAGGCAATGTTTTAAAGATACTGACGATTGAATGGCATCAACCTACCCATGTTTTCTAAGCCGTCCCTTGTACTCTTAATACAGAAGGAATCAGAATTTATAATAGCAAAGCCCCCAAATGCCCTGGTACAGTCGAGGGTGGGGAGAGTCCACTCTCCCTTTTGAAATACTCTCACATGGCCACGAGCACACAGTTACTGTCAGAGAAGTCCTACTCACTGCCTTCTCGCCGTGGGGGTGTTTTTACGAAATTAAGAGGGTGAAAAGCGAATGTCCGGCGCTTTAACCGGGTTGGTGGACACGGAGGTTTTACCTAGGAGAGTTGGAAAACTCTGATTTAAAACCAGTGGTGAACATGGGCTCCTGGATCGTGGGGGAACAAGTGGTTTATAAACCTATTGTTGGTCACCGGCTACCACGGAACTGTATCTCCTAACACTGCTTCACTGACTTGTGTGTTAGACCTTTAGGTCGAAGGCTTGAGTGTGGCCCCCTAAGAAAGTCACTTGCTTCGGTTTGGGCGCCCAGACAGTATCCAATCACTCACACAAATCAATGACAACTACTATTGGCCTCATTCTTATTGAGTAGTGCATATGTATTTGGTACCCCCTTGTACCAATGTTTTTGTTCAAATAAATAGTAAATAAATAACAGTAAAGTAGACATTTTATTCACTATTATAATTTGTAAGTTATAGAAAGTTTCAAAAACCCCTAATTAAATCTTGTCAACACCCAAACCATCATGACTGATAAAACTTAAATAATTGGTAGACAGGGTCAACTTATTAGTTTCCTGCTGTCAAGATACATGATAACACAAACCATCGTAGGAACATTAAATTCGAAGAGAAAGAAACATAGCTTGTACAGTATCGCAAACTCACTTGAGACGTTTAAAAGTACATCACTCTTATAAGCTATCAGCAGACAAATGCATACATTCTGTGTACATCACATCGTTGAAACTCTTTAGGTAAATCAATACCTGAGAAATCAGGCAAAATTTACCCATAGGAAGATATTCACAGAATTATGTTAAAATGTGGAAGGCAGACATCTTCAACAGAGCAGTGGCTTAGTGGTCAAAGCACCTGACTTCCAATTATTATATAGCTGGTTGCAGCTCTGGTCTCAACAGTCAACTTTCATACAAACTACAGCTTAAGGCTGAGTGTATGAAAGCGCACTCGGAAGAACGGTGACATCAATTATCAAAGAACTAATGGACACTACTTGATCCTATAAGGTTCTCTGATAAAGATCTTTAAGCAAAGTGCACGTTTGTGATGACAAAAACATTTTATAGAGCCTCTTCACTGACAACGTTTGATGGTGACGTCAAGTCAAATAATTCACCAACAGCAATCAATGATGGAAAACTTGAAAATAACACGAATTCATCTTTTGTGGAAATTCCATTGTTAATTTGCGAAAAGTATTAAATTTAGGATGAGCGGGTTAGGTTTCACAGGTATAGACCAAGACTGCTCTCAATAAAGCGTTGTAAACCCTAACTTTAACAGCCAAACTGACATCAGAAGGGCACCAAAGATGACCCAAATAGTCACACGCTGTTTTGATTTTTACTATATATAGATTGATCTCATCTACAGAGCGACCACATGCGCTTAAAAAACAACAGAAATACACGAACTCTTCAACTACGTGCAACGGCTCCCCACAAAAAGTGAGTGCAGGTACTGGCTCCTACCAGTCTTGTCCAAGTACTGTGGACTTAAGTGTTCAAGCATTTGGTGGCGAGTTAATATATGATCTATACATCCACAACCTGAACGAAAGCCAACTTACTCCTCCTCAGGAGTCAGTCTTTGACATTTTCCTGTAGTATGGTGGTAGTCAGTCAATTAAACGATAAGATATACCTAAATTATTTTCACACAAATCATGTGGGACGTTTCAAAAGATGAATACGGCAATGTCCTGATTCGAATACTGGAGCATCATCAGTTCATAGTTTTGCACAATCCAGCTAGTTATGAAACCATTATGTCATCTTAATTCCGGAAAATATTGAAAGCTATGGTTTAAACCTAGTTCAAAGTGATACTTGATTTCAATTATAAGTCCAGTTTATTCAGACGGCAACTCTAACCCATGTCTAAACAATGACCCATATAGATACCCTACATCATACGAAGTAAGAACAGTATTAAAGAGACCAGGAAAATATTTACAACACATATCCCGGTTTGTGCAAGCCGTAGCCAAGGTCAAAGACAATAGTCCACAAACTTTATTGGCCTGCTTACTTTATGCATAGTGACTTCAGGACCATTAAAAACTGATGGTTCACCCATATCATTCCAGGTAAACATGGAATCTTTGCAGACAGGTTCATAAGTAAGGAATAGATTTGACCACCACTGCTGAACAGATTTATCAGTGAAATCAGGCCACGCACTAGATCCAGGCCAACACCAACCATCGAATTCGGTCCCATCTCTAGTTTTGACGAAAATCCCATTATTTTGGGAATTACTGAGAAAAGATTAAAAAAGAGGTTTCCATTAAGTATAAATTTATTAGTCAGAACGATGCGTTTATGTTCACAATACTAAGAAATGTTTAACACTGATGAATAAATTCACCCTAATGCCAGATAATTTACTGGTAACTTCATTTATGAAAACGGTTTGAGAAAATGGTTAATTTAGTTTCTGAATATAATCACACAATAATAATAATAATAGTAATAATAATAATAATAATGATATCAGATGACAGTAATGCTGTACACTGAACGACTGAGTACTTAGTGACAGTTTCTTGTTAATTTATCATTTGCACCAACAACCGTGTCCAAAATGTGACTAACAACTATACTTACAGGTTTCTTTACCTTAAAACCATTCACTTATTATTACCCCTCTTTGAGAGAAGGATAACTTAGATTCTTGAGAAACTTCGTCTATGCTCAATACCTTTTGTGGAACCACTTCAATATCATCTAACAATAATGTATGACAGTTTGACTACTAAACATGCCTCCAAAACCCCGAGTCAAGTATATGAATAAAAATAAACTGTAGGACTGTTTAGCAACGTTAACTAACATAGAATCAAGACGAGAAACTGAAAATAAACTAGTCAGTATTGTCCCAGATATCAATATCTTAGAAAATGTTTGATACATTATAAAGTAGGTTTTACATATGCAGTATCGAGAGGGCTATCATAGACACCATGAAGTTTACAAACGTTTCAGATAGACATTAACAAAGTCTTCGTAATAGGACCAAAAACTTCTTTACTATCTGCAAGTCTTGGATGTAACTGTTTCGACATAACTACACAATTTTTATCACCTAATTGGTGAGAAGGCAATTATGTCAAAGATTAAGTAAAATCTTCATCGTAGTGGGGAAGTTTACCCACAGAACATTGTGTTTAAAGGAACGATACATAAACAACTTTCATCAAATGTTAAAATGTGGGAAAATTACCTGAATAAAGGCCAATTCGAGTCACGCTTAATGTGAGGATCAACAACAGTAACGAGCTTTCGACCTTTAACATTCAGTTTATCAACCATTTCTTTTGGATTTGGAAATTTAGTTCTATCCCAAGTAAAATAACGTTTTCCATCAGTGTGTTCAATGTCTAACCACAAAACATCAACAGGCATTTCATATTCATCAAAATGTTTGTCCACAGAAAGTAAATCAGCTTCATCATTATAGTTCCATCTACACTGATGATAACCAATCGCAAACAGGGGTGGTAACTTGGTAGTACCTACCACACTAGCATAAGAACGCATTGCTTCAGATGGAGTACTACCCATAAACACATATAAATCTACTAAGCCGGACTCAGATATCCATCTCGTTTGTACTGAAGATTTCTCTGGTTTCTTCGAAAAGAAACCTGAAAATATTCCGCTATTTTGTGAGTTCGAGTGATCAATGTCGATCCATGTCTCCGACGGATTCAGCCACAAGACACCCACAGTATTGTTTTGATTGTGTCCCCACATAACAGGGACAGAGCCATATAAGGCCATTTTATTATGGACCTCATATTCGAATACATCAAGATTATAAAGTCTGTAGGGGTCACCATCACTTGTAGTTTTCAAAACGAATCCATCAGCATGTTCTGGGATCCCATAGACGTGACTGAATCCCTGAAAGTCGAAATCCATCGAGATAGAGTTTAAGCCGTGAGGTCTTGTATCAAGATGTTCCTTGAAATATTCTGACCATGACTGATCTTCCGGAACTGTGTGCTCTGTATCTATATGATCTTGTTTTTCATCTTCTTTGTCTTCATCGGTAGTAGATTCTTTTGGTACATCTGTATTTCCTGAAGAATCTTCGGAACTATTTACAGTAGAGATATCAACCTCATGATTTTCACTTGGTAATGTATGGTTGTCATTTTGAGATACCTTATTTTTATCGATAATCGGTTTTTTCCTCTGATGTTCAAAATTTAAAAGACTTCTCTTATTTGCTGATGCTACAACAATGTCATTCAGGAAAAAATCGATATGAAAAGGGTTATAATACACGACTGCCTTGTATCCAGACTGTCCATCCAACACTAAACTATTCTCAGCAAATTTACACCTGATAGGGGCCTTTTCAACGCCTGGCAAAACGTCTCCTGCAGGCACGCGATACCTTTTATACTCATCTGTCAATTCATCAATGAGTACACGGAAGATGGAGTGTTGATTATAGGTAACATCCAGCGACAGATAATGGTTTTGATCTTCAGTGTAAATAACTGCAGTTATTCCATGTGGGTTTATCTTGACAGAACTTGGTTCTAACCTGTGCGCAAGTTCCCCAGGTTTTATTTGTCGTTGTCGAGTACAGAACCTGTAATATGAGTAAACTATAAAATCATTTAACTTACGAGCTCTGGTCACATGTTTTAAAATTAGCACGATCTACCGACCATGAGATATTGAGTATCAAGAAAAGTAGACCTAAACTCTCTGGCCTCAAAAACATGTTGAAAGAACTGTATCAACAGGCTAACAGGTTTTGTTTGGTAAAGAAGTGAAGGAATAATCTTGTGTGGGATTCCAGTTCGCCAGGTCAAATAGCGTAACAAGGAGTCTGAGAAAATGAAAAGCGTAGTTCTAAAACTTAATAAGCATATTTTAAATAACCATATAAACACAAGATAATAAGTAGTCAGTGATCGATCTACGGAGTAGGATTCTAGAATAACAAACGCTGATAGCTATTTTTGGAGAAAACACCTTTAACCAATTGGTATGCAGCTGTTAACACGGTAGATAAAAGCTGCTGGTCGCCCTCTATCAAGCTAGCAAGATATGAAAGATAATAAGAACTTCTTTTTTATTTTATTTCAACACATAGATATTGGCACAAGAAGGCACCAAATACATATGCGCCACACAAATCTCATTCGATATATGTGAGGGCTATGATACTGCCCGGGTGCCCAAACCGCAGTAGGTGGTTTTCTTAGGGGGCCACACCCCGAGCCTTCGACCTGAAGGTCTGATCCAAAAGGCAGTGGAGAATCGTCCCATGGAAGCCGGTGACCAACAATTGGCTCATACGCCATTTGTTCTCGCAGGATACTGGAGCCCATGTGCACCATTGGTTTGGAATCCGGTTAAAGCGCCGGACATTCGCTTTTCATCCTCTCATTTTCGTAAACAACACCCTCGCCACGAGAAGGCAGTGAGTAGGATTTCCCTGGCAGAGGCTATATACGCGTGGCCATGTGAGAGCATTTCGAGAGGGAGAGCGAACTCTCCCCACTCTCGGCCGTACCAGGGCATAATAAGAACTAACCCAAGTAGATTCATTAAACACAAAATACTCATTTAGTGATAATGGAACCAGCAAAAGTTAATAGTGAGCAAGATCACCAACAATACTATCTGTAGACGAAAACCCATCTTATGTGATCTACAGCAAATGAAAGGGGCAACCTTGTGACCAATAGCGTAATCTACTAGACACCAAACAGAAGCAGTCATAAGCCAAAGTCCATTCAGACAACTGACACTCAGGAGTCTGTAAAAATGGTATGCCAGGTGTTTACGACTAGTTAATTTCAGAATAGGGTGTGTTAAATCCTGACAGTAAGATTAATATGAGTATCGTACGACTCTGACTCATCCTAATCCATTATACAAAATTACACGATTGATTGGCGAGACCCTAATCCCTAACCTTAACCCTAACCCTAGGCTACAACCCTAACCACTAACCCTATGGACGAGTTTCTATACCATATGCATTATGAATTCAGAGCCTTTGAACCTTTATCGAACCTTAACAAGTTTTTAAATCATGTAAAAGAAGAATATCCACTGTAATTCATTACTTACAATATATTCTCACTTTATGCTAACTGTCTTCTGATTGACTAATAATTGTCAAGGTCATTTAAGATTCGTTCAAAGGTCGTCGCTAAATTAGAGTCTCGCCGATTGATCTTTATCACAGAGCACGCCACATGTGATTACCATTGTCTAAGAACGCTTTGCGCTCTGTATATGGTTTGATGAGTCTATGTGCATAAAATATAGCACTTCATACTCAACCTCTTAATATCGCAGTTATTTTAGCCGGTCATGCAACAGAATGATTACAGTACACTAAATTGATCTGAAATATGTAAACAATAAAACACAAATTACTCGAAGTCAGATGGACACCAAAGACTAGCGAACCCGACTGAAGAGGTATATGCCGCCCATCTATAACGGACTACCACAGAGTTTGCGCATCAACGAGGTCGCGGTTAGAAATTAACGTGCGTTGCTACGACCTCAGCCTAATAAACAAACCCGTCATACTTTAGGAGACTGCTGAGCCCAATGTGACTCCATTTTGAAGCCTTCTAATCCGAAGATTCACTACCGTTGCATCATAGGCTTGACAACCTATTGTGATGTCCATCTTCATTACGCGGTTGCCATTGCCCTATGAACATACCCTTCAACGAGATAAGAACACAAAGCAGATGGTCTGTAGCTCGAAACGACACACTTTCTTGATAGAGTAAGCGCACTATGTGCTGTGTACAAATGGTACCACGTGTGGAGATCGTAGATAAGGAATTACATGACAAGGAAATAACCGACGACCCCATAAAAGCATGTGACAGACCTACATTCAATAGCGAACCCAAAGACAAATGCTAATGATATCACAAACTTGAAGTTTAGGAAACCTGACAAACCAAACCTGAACTGAGCGAAAGCTCTTGAACGCGTCAAACGACCTACAGTCAAGACGCGCGCCGGTGAATATTCACTTCAGCACTGAATAATTCTAAATCTAAACTTGTTGAGGCCTGTTCAGAAGAGACTTACGCTATATTAACACATCACTTCGTGGAAATAATTCATTGTAATATCTAACTGTAGTCTTGAGCATATGAAAGAAAAGTGAGGGCATATCAGATGCGAATTTATCATCAAGTAATTTGAAAGCCATGATCAAGTCACATTTGATTCTTCTATATGATAGTGGAAATAGATTAAGCCAGTCGAGCATCATACGGGAGCTTTGATATTCCGGGAATAAGTTTAGTTTCAGTTTTCTGGATATTTTTCAACAGCTCACTTTTTCCTTTTAGACAGAAGCTAGACACTTGTATGCAGTACTCAAGTTTAGGACACACGAACAATGTATACAAAGTCAAAAAAAGTTAAAGCGTCTACATGACTAAAGGCTCTACGTATTGACCAAAGTGTTCTGAAAACTTTGGCGGCTATTGCAATGCAGTATGCAGTAGTTTATAGGTTTGAACTAACGACGGCTCCTAAAACAATGTGCGTTCGGACAACAGGCAGCTCATTGATATTCACCGTGTATGCATCTCAAGGCTAATCGTACACTGAATCTTTCATCCAGTTCAGGGACACTGTTTCTCAAACATTTCCTGGTACTGATAGAAGTGTGATGTCTCTGTAGTTCACACATGTGCCGAGATTTCTTTTCCTTGATATATTGATGGGGTATTTTCCTCTCCAGTCTGTCGTCGCTTGTTCCTCCTCCTTTCGAATCTTCCTGAATAGCATGAGGAGCATGTTTGCAGTTACTTCTATGTGTGACTTCACGCTTCAGCTAGTGTGTTATCAGGTCCTTCTGCTTTCCATCTGTTGATTTGTCTGACAGTCATATTGGTTTCTTCGATTCACTGTGGAGTGACATCTATAGAAAAGTCTGAATGTGCTGCTTCGCTGTTCGGTGGGTTCAGTGAGTCTGGTCTATTCAAGAGTTCTTCCGTGTTCTACCCATCTATTCTTCTGTTCTTTAATCTCGACGATTGTCTTACATTTGTCCTTGACCGGTCTCTCTAGTTCACTTTATTTCCCTACCAGTTCCCTCGTTGTGTCATAGAGTTGTTTTGTATTTCCTTCTCTTACAGCTGTTTTCGTTTTCGTTGGTAGGTCTTCCATGTATTTTCGCTTGTCAGCTCTAATGCCCCTCTTCACTTGCTTATTTGCCTCTGTGTATTCATCTTGTGCTTGAACTTTCTCTGCACTTGTTCGGCTGTTGTTAATTACTGTATACTTGTTCTTACTTTCTTGAATTTTGTCCAAGGTTTCTAGGAGATCCTTTCCTTATGATGATACTTCTTGCGACCCATGACGCTTTGAAGTTAGTGGTGCTTTGGTCCCTTTTCAGTTGTCCTCTACAGTAAATTTGCGAATCTCTCACCATTCTCGTTGCTCCCTGCCAGTCCATTTCGTCCCATGATATCTCCATACCCAATGTTAGCCACGCGGACTTGGGTGTCTAGGTCTCTCATCAGTATGGTCAGGTCATTTCCTGGGCACTTCTCTATGATCTATTGCAGCCTTTCGTAGAACTGGTCTTTGTCGTCGTTGTTATCATTGGTGTGTGCATAACACTGGATAACGTTCATTGTGATTCCCTTCTTCTTCGTTTCGGGGATGCTTTGATGATCCTGATTCATGAGATTACCATGATTCCAACTTGGTCATCATGAATTGTGGATCGCAAACATGCGTCCTAGTAGGATGGATGAATCGCCCACCCCATTTAGATATCAATTTTGACAAGTTGTTAACACTTTTTATTGTTTCCCACCAACCACATACGTTTAGGTTCATCGGACATACATTTTGGTCAGCCCTGCGTTACATGCAATTCGGCTTCGGTACCGAGACAATATAATAAATTTCATGCAATTGGTTCCCTTTATGAATTTAAATAGAGCAAGAACAAACATTGATGCAAAATAGTATGAATTCATATTATTTCGAGGTTTCTCGTCAGCTGCTTACAAACCAAAATTGTGATAGAATTTTTTATATGGAGATAGTGTGAAAACAACTGACATAAATGAGTGTAAATAACTTGATTACAATAATAACTATATATATATGCTAGAAACAGGTCAGAGGTCAAAAGAGGGGGTTTAATCCAGGGTGGGTGGTGTAATAATTTAGTGAAGTTCATAAATTGTGTGATAATTGTAGAGATTAATGGAATTAAATAATGATAAGGTAGATTACGTAATAATAATTAAATAGGGTTTGGAAAGTTAAGATGATTTAAGAGGATCAGGTGATGGAAATGTGTGAATAAAATTTATTTTAAGAATTAGGTAATAGGGGGGGAGTGTAAATTATCTTAGAATAAGTAAATGAGTAAAATAACCAAAACACAAAACAAACAGAAACAAAAGGATTACCAGGGTAGAGATAAGTTTATTAAAGTCTCTTTTTGGATGCATAAGTCCGGTTTCAGTTTCTTAATTGCAATGGCTTCAGCAAAGCGGAGAGTGGTAGTAGTTCTTTGTCTATTGATAATTTTAAACGCGCGCATAATATCGACGGTATGCCCGGTGTCAA